GTCTGAACAAATAAAACTATGTATATCCCCATGGAAGTTGGTAATCACTGAAGTAGACACAGTGGTGTATTTAGCTGTTGTGCTGCCCTAGGCAACACTAAAATTGGGCATCCCCCCTCCTGCCACTGCACCACTACAATTGGGTGCCCGCCACCACCACCAGCACCCCAGACCCTGCTGCTGCTAAAATTGGGCACCCACCACCAGCGCCCCACATGGGCCCTGCTGCTGCCACTCTCCTCCAAAACCCCCCCCCCCCCAAGCCCCCGCAGAGAGAGAGAGATAGTTAGCCACTAACCTTTACCTTTCTGGAGCCAAGTCCAGTGTCTTCCTTCCTTGTGTGGGAAGCTTACACCCTCCAGCAGTGCGCAGCCACACCAGGTCCCCCCCGAATATTGCCACCCTAGGCAAATGCCTTGTTTGCCGTATTCTGCACACAGGAGGTCAGCAGCTTGGCACCATTGCCATTCAACATGTGCTTTGCATTTATACATTGCATGTGCATAGATTGCATATACTGTTAAGTTACACCTGGGAAAAGAGTGGCTATCTATTAACTCTTAACTATTGTTAATAACTGAAGTTGTAGTAGAGGCCAATACAAAAGAAGTAATGCAGATAAGTACATCTCAGTTTGGCAGTGTTTAGCGAGTCAAAGTCCACAGAACAATTCAAATAAGGCACAACATAACCAGTAGCTCTGGACCATTTACTATATTTACTATATAACCAAATAGGACTTGGCTGATCCAACATCTTAGCTCAGTCCAAACCATGGACTAGCCCAAATTGAAAGATGTTCACCAGTTCTCACTAGGTCCTATTAAAGGATGAATTGTATGAGGACTGAGTTGATTTCCAAAGTGCATAGTTACTGTATCTACACTACCCAAAGAGAATGTAGGAAAAACAATGGAAAAAAAGGAAAGCGCAAAGGAGAATATTGCAAGGAAGAATGGAAGATATGGGAGGCTGGGAGGGCTGACTGAATAGGGAAGGTCTCTTGTCCCTAGGGTAGTGGGGCACATAATTCCCTTTTATTAAAACGATAGTAAACCACAACCTTTTCTAAAAAAAAAAAAAAAAAAAAAAAAAAAAACTTGCAAGACAATGGTATATTGTTCTAGCATGGATCGCATACTAGCACAGTATGTGAAATTTACCTTAAAACTAAGCTGTCTAGTGGCGCTTTGTCACCAGTGGCAGGGCTTCCATCTTCACCTGGTCCTTCTTCCGGGTTCACAGGCTTGAAAGGCCCAGCCGTGCTGTAGTCACTTTTTATAGCACGCAGCTCTGAAGGAACGGCACAGGCATGCCGGTGCTCTACACGAGTAAATATCTCCTGTACAGTGCATGTTTAGGAGATATTTACAGTACCTACAGGTAAGCCTTATTATTTGCTTACCTGTAGGTACAAGTACAAAAACTGACTTTACTACCACTTTAAATTTGCACTAATACAGCCAAGAGTTGGTCACTCGACCCAAATGCAAGTTATAAGAATGAAATTGGGTAAGGTTATGAGTACATGTGCATGTGTGTAATCATTGTGCTACCATTTCCATTGTCAATCGTACAACCATTTCTATTGTCAATCGTGCTACCATTTCCATTGTCAATCATTGCGCTACCATTGCCATTGTCAATCATTGCACTGCTATTTCCATTGTCAATCATTGCGCTACCATTTCCATTGTCAATCATTGCGCTACCATTGCCGTTGTCAATCATTGCGCTACCATTTCCATTGTCCATCATTACGTTACCTTTTCCATTGTCCATCATTGCGCTACCATTTCTATTGTCGATCATTGCATTACCATTTCCATTGTCAATCATTGTGCTACCACTGCCATTGTCAATCATTGCACTACCATTGCCATTGTTAATCATTGTGCTACCATTTCCATTGTCAGTCGTTGTGCTACCATATGGTAGTACGGTATATTTTGAAATTCTGTACATGACCAATTCTGTGACATACCAGTTGAAGTCCAAAGGGTGGAATTCTTCTCCTTTACAACCAAACTGAGAATTTGTATAAGTGAAAGTTGACAGAGATGGGTATGTTGGTTTAGATTTATAGCACAGAAACCATAGGTAACAGGCTAAATTTGCTAAGGTGTCCCATGTTTTTTTTATAAAAAAGTATTATTATTTTATTAATTTGGGAAGTGTAGTAGACCTAGCTTTCTCTACTCCTCTCTTCTCCTCGATCATTAAGCTTATGATAAATCTACCAACAAAGTGGCCCCACACCTCCGCTATGCAGCTCTGGCTGCGACTGAATCCGTCAGAAATCCTTCACACATTTTTAGTGCACATGTGTCATTGCCTTCATTCATTTCAATGAAAAACCGACTGATAAGCGGGCTAACCACTGATGGGAATGGTAGCTGCTGTGTGCATATTCCAGCACAGTTTGGTAGATTTCTGAAAATGTCAGCCACAGTTTTTGTGGTGTTTAGCAGACCTCACAGTGAAGATCTCAGGACAGCAACAATGTGGTAGGTAGGTATTTCCAGTGAAAGTGCTGAGGGGATGTGGTGGTTAGAAAAAGAAAAGTGCCCTAAAGTGGAGCTTCACTCTCTCAATCAACATTGACTAGTTGTAATCCTTGTGCTGCTATCGTTCGTAAATAGATAGGAAAGTCTACAATATTTATTTGTTTTAGACCCAGTTCACACCCGGTGCAGCTTTGAAGTCGCGCTACTTCAGCGTGATTTCAAAGCTGACGATCAGTGCGACTTCATGTGCAGCTTGCCAACATCTGTGTGACTTTATACACAGATGTCAATGCAATTTGCACATGAAATCACACAAAAAGAACCTATTTCAAAGTTGCACCAAATTTGTATGGCTCCATTGCGGCAAATAGGGTGTGACTTGTCATGTGACTTGACAGATCCAAATTGTATGACAAGTCACACCCGGTGTGAATGGGAGCAAAAACGTTCTTATACTCACTGGCCACTTTATTAGGTACAACTGTTCAATTGCTGGGTAACATAAATTGCTAATCAGCCAATCACATGGCAGCAACTGTGTATTTAGGCATCTAGACATGATTAAGTTGACTTGCTGAAGTTCAAACTGAGCATCAGAATGGGGAAGAAAGAGAGGATTTAAGTGACTTTGAACATGGCATGGTTGTTGGTGCCAGACGGGCTGGTCTGAGTATTTAAAAAAACTGCTGATCTACTGGGTTTTTCACATACAACCATCTCTAGGGTTTACAGAGAATGGCCCGATAAAGAGATGTGGTTGAAAATGCCTTGTTGATGTCAGAGGAGAATGGGCAGACTGGTTTGAGATGATAGAAAGGCAACAGTAACTCAAAAACCACTCGTTACAACCAAGGTATGGCCCGAAAAAGAGATGTGGTTGAAAATGCCTTGTTGATGTCAGAGGAGAATGGGCAGACTGGTTCAAGATGATAGAAAGGAAACGGTAACTCAAAACACCACTCGTTACAACCAAGGTATGCAGAATACCATCTTTGAATGCACAACACATCAAACCCTGAAGCAGATGGGCTACAGCAGCAGTAGACCACATCAGGTGCCACTCTTGTCAGCTAAGAACAGGAAACGGAGGCTACAATTCACACAGGCTCATCAAATTTGGACACTAGAAGATTGAAAAAAACGTGGCCTGGTCTGATGAGTCTTTATTTCAGCTACGCCATTCAGATGGTGGGGTCAGAATTTGGCGTAAACAACATGAAGTATGGATCCATCCTGCCTTGTATCAACGGTTCATGGATGTGCAGCCAACAAATTTACAGCAACTGCGTGATGCCATCATGTCAATATGGACCAAAATCTCTGATGAATGTTTCCAACACCTTGTTGAATCTATGCCATGAAGAATTAAGGCAGTTCTAAAGGCAAAAGGGGTCCAACCCAATACTAGCAAGGTGTACCTTTATAAAGTGGCCCGTGAGTGTATATTTCTTCAGTTACTTCCTGGTTTCTAGGCCTAGGAAAATTATGTCGTACATCTCAGGAGGGGCTTTCTCGGCTAAGCACACCCTCTTCCCTGTGTGACTGAGCTAAAGGCAGATGGATTCCAGAAAGTACAGTAAGTACAGTAAATACATGAATCATCTGCACTTACTCAAGATGGCCATGACCAGAGATGCTAAGGGGATGCTTTTCAAAGTGTCTTCTGTGTGTGTGCTCACGTTTATAAATCCTTTTTTTTTTTTTTCCTTTTTTTAAGTGATCAGATACCCTCTATTATCAGCTGCGTAAGGAGCTTAGAGAGCTGGGGGAAGAGAAGCAGCAGTACACAGGTCTTCCCGGTGAATGGCTGTGCAGGGGGTGGGGGGGAGAGTCAGCACAAGCCTGATCATTGGATTACCTCTCAGCACAGCCAGAAAATTGACCACATTGTGCTCTCCTACCTAGCGTGGTCAGTTTTTAATAGGAAAGCAGAGGGACTGGCAGGTACACCAGGAATTTCACACAAAGGAAGCAATACAAAGAGAACAGGATACTTTTTCATACAAGTACATGGTACAAAAGTCACTTATCAGGAATATGAACTGCTGGGTTTACATATTCGTTAAGGCATTAGCTCTCTATTGCTTGGCTTGATTGATTAATGAAGATCGAACCTTAGAACTCCATTGGGTACTCATGAGATTGGCTCACTAGAGTCCGTAAGGAAGTCTGTTCATCTACCAGCCATGGAATTTGAAATGTTCATTTTGGAGAAGATGTTCTTCTCCAACTTAGCGAAAACACCAGGACACTGAAACTATACAGCTATATCTCTGACAAATCCCAAATATGCTTTTGTTGGTCCAAATATTCTTTGCTATCACAGGTAATTTTATTGGGTGGCCTCTTCAGTAATATTTTCATATCTGTGATATAAAACATTGAATTATAAAATAAAGTATTTTGTATGTTATATTGAAGTTATACAATTAGATGTTTTATTGGTCTGTGTTGTATGGTATTTTAATATGTAGTTTCTTTTTCTCCTGCAGGATGGAGCAGGATATTTTTCTGAGCTCAGATGAATTGGACGATGATGTATTTTATCCTGATGACTTTGGGTTTCCTGTTCAGCCTCTGACCCCTTCAGCTATGTTCACCCACAGCCCAGCTTACACTTGTATGTTAGGTCGATTTCAGCTGTTCCCCCTCTCCCATTGCTGTGGCCCCGGGTGCAGGATCACGGACTGCGAGGATAAGGCCACCCAAACCTTAGAGCCATCATCTGTTAATGGTGATATTATGTTACCTTGTGGTGTCGCAGAATCCCCTCAGAGACTCTTTTATGGTAAGCGACTCATACCTGTTAATGCTGTATTTATTGTTCTTTGTTGTAGCAGCTGAACTTGTCTTTTCACCATTAATTGAATAAAATCATTCTTGTTTTCTTTTTCCTTTTAAAGTGTACGTCTAGGTAAAACCTTTTAGGAAATGGTTTGACCCTCTGTCATGTTTTTATTGCAGTGTACAAGGGACACATTTCTGAAAGGCTTATAGTCAGCCACTATATATATATATATATATATATATATATATATACAGTTGCAAGAAAAAGTATGTGAACCCCTTGGGATTATGTGGAGTTTTGCATGAATTGGGCATAAAATGTGCTCTGAACATCATCTAAGTCACAACAATAGAAGAACACAGTCTGCTGAACATAATACTACACAAACATTAGATGTTGCCATGGTTTAATTGCACATAACATGTAAACATTCACAGTGCAGGGAGGAAAAAGTATGTGAACCTTTGGACTTAATAACTGGTTGACCCTCCTTTGGCAGCAATAACCTCAACCAAACGTTTCCTGTAGTTGCAGATCAGACCTGCACAACGATCTGGAGTAATTTTGGACCACTCCTCTTCACAAAACTGTTTCAGTGTAGCAATATTCTTGGGATGTCTGGTGTGAATCGCTCTCTTAAGGTCATGCCACAGCATTTCAATCGGGTTGAGGTCAGGACTCTGACTGGGCAACTCCAGAAGGCGTATTCTGTGCTGTTGCAGCCATTGTTCTGTTGAATTACTTGTATGCTTTGGGTCATTGTCCTGTTGCATCACCCATCCTCTGCGGAGCTTCAGTTGGTGGACAGATGGTCGTACGTTTTCCTGAAAAATGTCTTGATAAACTCTGGAATTCATTTTCCCATCAATGACAACAATCTGTCCAGGCCCTGAGGCAGCAAAGCAGCCCCAAACCATGATGCTCCCTCCGCCATGTTTCACAGTGGGGGATGAGGTTTTGATGTTGGTGTGCTGTGCCTTTTTTTCTCCACACATAGTGTTGTGTGTTCTTCCCAAACAACTCAATCTTGGTTTCATCTGTCCACAGTATATTTTGCCAGTAGTGCTGTGGAACATCCAGGTGCTCTTTTGCAAACTTCAAACGTGTTGCAATATTCTTTTTGGACAGCAATGGCTTCCTCCGTGGTGTCCTCCCATGTACTCCATTCTTGTTTAATGTTTTCCTTATTGTAGATGTGTTAACAAAAATGTTAGCATGTGCCAGAGATTTCTGTAGGTCTTTAGCTGACACTCTGGGATTCTTCTTTACCTCATGCAGCATTCTGCGCTGTGCTCTTGCAGTCATTTTTACAGGACGACTACACCTAGGGCGAGTAGCAACAGTGCTAAACTTTCTCCATTTGTAGACAGTCTGTCTTACCGTGGACACATGAACATCAAGGCTTTTGGAGATACTTTTGTAACCCTTTCCAGCTTCATGCAAGTCAACAATTCTTTTTCGTAGGTCTTCTGAGAGCTCTTTTATGCGAGGCATGGTTCACATCAGACAGTGCTTCTTGAAACCAGTAAACCCAAAACAGGTGTGTGTTTTTTAAGGGCAGGACAGCTGTCAGCAACACATCCAATATCACCACACTGATTGGAGTCAAGGTTGGCTCACTCCTGGCTCCAATTAGCTCTGGGGGAAGTCATTAAGCTAGGGACTCACATACTTTTTCCTCCCTGCACTGTGAATGTTTACATGTTATGTGCAATTAAACCATGGCAACATCTAATGTTTGTGTAGTATTATGTTCAGCAGACTGTGTTCTTCTATTGTTGTGACTTAGATGACGTTCAGAGCACATTTTATGCCCAATTCATGCAAAACTCCACGTAATCCCAAGGGGTTCACATACTTTTTCTTGCAACTGTATATATATATATATATATATATATATATATATATTTTATTTGCTACAAAATATGCTAGAACGCATGCATTCTATGTTATATGTAATACTACACAATATTTGTGCTGGGATGCTATACAAACCTATTCTCAACAATAATGTATAGCTAGTCACATGATTAATATTAAAAAATAGGCAAGTAATCACCCGAGAAGACTGTAAGCAGGCAAGTAGGGACAATTTATTGCAGAAAAGACTTTGCATGTCTCTTCTGCAATAAAAGCCTGCCTGCTGGCTGTTTGTTACATTGGAATGTCAGTTCCGCTTTAATGATAAATTCAAGCTGAGCTCCCCCATGCCTCTTATCAGTTTGGTTCTCTCTCTCTCCCTCATCTATCCAAACACCCAGATCCTCCTCCACCAATGATTCCCCAGTTGTACTCCTCCTAGTATGTACGCATATTTTTTACTTTACATTAAAAAAACAAATCCGTGTATATAATTTAGTCTTTGTGAAAGTTAGAGTCTACAAACTATGGTATATTTGTTTGAAAAGTGATCCTAATGTACCGACTGCCTATCTTGTTCTAAAATGCCAGGACAGTACAAATCTCCCCAAAATGACCCCTTATTGTAAAACAGATAGTCTATGATAGAGAGTTCTCAAATGTTTAAAGAGTGAGCTGTTCCCATATCCATGGTACAATGAACCCTTGCATTTTTCACACACTGCATAGGCATACTTACAATTACACCCCAGAACACATTCTGCTACTCCTCCCGAGTATGGCGATACCACATATGTGAAATTTATTTCACAGCATAGAAGCATAGAGGGGCCCAAAATACAAAGAGCACCTTTTGGGTTTTTAATAAAGCATATATTACATGTTAAACTTACTGACTACATATATTTCTTGAGTCCCTGAAGTTCCAAGACAGGAGAAACACCTACAAAATGACCCGATTATGGAGAGAGCAAACACTTCAAGGTATCTTCTAAGAGGCATGGACGTAAAGAGGAGCTCAACCAAAAAGGGGAAGTTCTGCTTTAAACACTGGTCCCCTGCTCCGCATTAAGGATTGGCACCTTTGGGGTGTGGGGGACTGGGTACCTGAAATTGACAGGTACCCACTCACACTTCTGCTGCGATTGCCTAGGCAATCAGGAGGAGTTGTCCTCTTTCCTCCCTCCCTGTAGTCTTCTGGGACACTTAACAGGTCCCAGAAGACTACGGGACTATTCAGAAAGTGCAGCGCTACTCATGCTACAGTTTTTGTAGCTTTTTTAAAGTGTGACTGGAACTCTGCTTTAATTTTTTTTTTGCCACAAGTTTCTGTAGAATGCTGGAAAGAAAGTGAAAATGTATTTTTTACACAAACTTGTCAATAAGATATTTCTAACAAACATCATAAGCATACTTGGAATTATACATATTATACTACTTGTCCCAAGGATGATTTTTTTTTTTTTTTTTTGTACACAAAGTTGTCAATTTCATAAGATATTTTTCACACATAGCATGGGTATACTTAGAATTTCACCACAAAACACATTCTGCTACTCTTCCTGATACCAAATGTGTGAGACGTTGTCAAAGTTTAGACTGATTATGTACTGGACATTGTTTCTTGTTTATCACACAAATCAACCTATTGTGTCAACAACCGTGTACTCTGTGCATAACAGTTAAAATGTAGCGCCAATCAACAGTTCAAGAATCAAATGAAAATAAAATAACCGTCCATATAATCAAATTTTCAGTGAAAAAAACTTGAAAATATCAGTCCACCACCACAAAGTGCTCTTGCTTGCAGTAAAGAAATGCCATCCACATCTCCCCGTGAATTCAAGATTCGCCAAAACTGATGGCTCCCACTTCAACAGCGTGAACGCCCCTATGTCCAAACGGAAGTTCCATAAATGCACGTGATAGCAAATGACTAGGTACCACTCTGTCTGGATTGGCTGTGATAAAATAACGCTCACAAGGAGCAAAGATGCTTCCAATAGTGTAGTACTTTTTATAAAATCCATATAAAATGCATCAAGTACATCAAAGAAATGTCAGCTTACATAGATGGCCGCTGGCAACTCGGAATCGTGCAGCAGCATGACGTCAGCACTGTACACTCCTCCCCAACCGTGTACTCTAAAGCTGGCCATTCATGGCTCAGTTTTTTTTATTCAGCCAATGGGTTGAAGGAAAAAAAAACAGAATTGATTTCCCCATCCACACAGTCAAGGTGGATGCAGGAATTCTCCCCACTTTGTCGTTGTAATCTGACAATGAATAGTCAGCTGGACTCCTCAGAATACATTAAACCAGCCGAATTTGCATCTGCCTCTATACAGGGAATATAGCTTAGTGTAGCATCACCTTTAGTAGTCTCCTTTCCTGCAAGCTGAGCCCACTGGCATGTGGCTGCCCCCAGGAATGCCATGTTCACTGCCAAGGAAGTACAGGAGGCCAAAGAAGAATGACCTCTTTTGGATGACAACTTTATTACAGCTACAAGCTTCAATAATTATTTCTTCAGTGTTATTATCATCATAGATTTATTATCTACTAATATCTACAGTATGTACTTGTGCTTGAATAACATAATTATCTATAAATTAGTTATTGATTATAGGTTGTGCAGTATTACAGTATGAATGTGTTTGTTAGTATAATATTTATATTTAATGTAGAGTGTATGTTTTAGCTTGTTTTGCAGCAAATAAAGAATATATTTGTTTTTAGTAACTACCCGAAGTAAGACATTGTCACGATCTACCAGTAGATCTTGGCCAGGTGACTGGTAGATCACGGTCAGGGCTTGCTGACCCGCCATCCCAGAGCATCAGAGTGCAATACAGAGGGACTCTTTGTAAAGTTGGAGTTGTAGTAGGGAGCAAGAGCCACAGAAGCCAATGTCTCCTCTGTAGTGCTGGCTCCTGTCCCATGCGGAGTGATACCAACTGCACTACATCTCTTATCCCGGCTAGCAGCCTCCAGAGTGGTGTCAGCAGCAGGAAAGAAGAGATCTTCAGGTCAGTGTGAAGCAATACACTGGAAATATAGTATAGGACTGCTTTCACACTGATGGGCTGCAGTTTCCTGACACAGTAGGTGCAGTGCGCAGTACTATGGGCTCATTCCCC